GTCTGCTGATTCCCTGGCCACTACCTCCCGACCTTGCGCCTGTGAGTGCGTCATGGACTCCCTGGGGGAGGTGTGCAGGGCGTGCGGCTCCGAGCCCTTGGAGATCCGTAGTCCGTAGTCCTGGCCATTAATGAGTGAGTGGCGGCTCTTACCACCAGCAAGCGCAGGACTGGGCTCGTTTTGTCCCTCACCGTTGATGTCCCCTCATTTACATTTTACAACTAAATGAATAAAGTCATTCCTCTTCTACAGGTGAGGGCTACGCTGCCTTAGGGGGATTTTGCAAGCTTTCTTGAAATAATGCCATTTAATTCCGCCCCCCCCACCCCCCCAGATAGCAACATCAGGATTTGATATAGTGCATCTCAGAACAAACTTTAATCATTGTTTCAAAGTTCAGTCTGCACTAATCCATGGCAGTAGGTTAGTTTGTCTCTGTAGCAGAGGAATTATTTATTTAAAAAGTTAGAAAAACCCTCATTTAAGCTGTATTTTCTCCAAAGGAGGAGGAGGATGAGAACATTAAAGTTGCCTCTGGGTAATTTAAATTTCCTTTTGTGGTGTGTGCAGAAGGCCACACTAAGAACAAAAGAAAAATATTGATATATGTAGGCTCAATAAATGAGAAATGAAGTTGTTTTTTAGAAGTTCCGTAGAACCTGTTTTGCATTAAAATTGCACCCAGAGACCAACAGGAAGGCATGGCCACAGCACCTGTGATGCATACAGAAAGGCAGGACAGTGTTTGATGAGAACTTGAACCTGAGTCCTGGGCTGCCCAGGTCGGGGTGCTCCAGCACTTCTTGATTGAGCTTGACTTTAAATCAACTACTGTGTGTCTTTGCTTCCAGTCCTCATTTTCACAATGGAAATGCAACAGCAGTGATGATAATTACAACAGTTCCTTCTCCATAGGACTGTTGACGCCATAAATGTCAGCTTAGCTCAGGTAACTCATTTTGATTTCAGAACCTTACACAGGTGTAGTTCCCGGCATTCTTACCGTCACTCTCTAAGGGAGATTCCATTCTATTCCCCACTGCACACATAGGGGCTCAAGTGTGTAAGGTAAAAGTGTTAAGGGGAAGGATGTCCTCAAGGAACTCTGCAGAGTTGTGTGGACTCCACCCCCTACTCCAGCTTTCTGGACTCTATCCCGTATTTCAGTGATTGGAAACTACAACTCCCAGCAGTACCAGGGAGAGGACTGCGAGGACCCAAGGGCGGAGCTAAGCAGGCATTCTGGGACTTTGGGGGATAAATAGGGCACCATTTTCTACAACCCTCTCTCTCTTTCTCTCTCTCTCTGGTTCGGCTTTGGGAAACGGCTATCGGGACTGTGTGACTCGGGGCTTTCAGTTAGTTTGTTACCAGATCTCCAAGTCAGCCAAGCCGGTAAGATATTCCAGTTGCTTTGTATCCCTCTCTCTTTCCCTGGGTTGTTTCCTTTTCTTTTCCTCTTTTGTGCATAAACCCATTATTGACCCTTTTGTGTGTGTCTGCAGTACAACTGAACTTTAAGTGAGGGTGAGGCCCCACAGACAGGCAGCCCAGTTCACACTGGGGTGCCCTGTAACAAAAGGATTTGTTTAAAGGTGACACAGCTGGTAAGTTCTAGAATGGAGACTCTGAAGTTCCAGGCCAACCGAAGCCTGCTGGTGTACAATCTGCCCCCAAGGCCACTTCAGACCACAGGGAAGGAGCAGGCTGCACTTGTCATAAAACTAGACTCGCCTGACCTGGTTGTTACTGTAAACAAAGCAGAGAGAGGTGCTTAGCCTCTGCTTTCTTCAACACTTCCATGCCTTTTCTTTTTAAAAATCACATCTCCAGAATATTGCTCCAGTTTTCCACTTCATATATTCCTTCCCTTTCATCATTCTTTGAACTACCTTAAACTTGGGGCATACCAAATAATTTATTATTGCTGCTGTTTAGCAAAAATCTAGGTTTCCTCACCCTAGCAATCAAAGAAGTACTTCCCATTCTAAGAAAGTTGTACTGAACATTTTCACGTGTCTCTCTGGGCAGCGGGGGAGGGAGTATCATCTACTAACACCAGGTGACTTGTGAATGGGCTAGAGAAAGCATTTGACCATTTTAGAGAATGCTTTGGTCTCTCAGCCCCAGGATAGAAAGTTGAAAGTTATAAAGGAACAGGGTGTGATATGGAAACATGAGGATGAAGCGTCTGAGTCTTGAATCCAAGTAAGTTTCAATTAAGCAGTTAGGTTCAAGATACGAATAACAGTTCTACCCTAACACAATCAATTGCTATTTGTTATATCTGTTTTGAACATATTCAGCAGGACCTCAGTGCTGTGGAGATTCAAAAGAGGCACGGACATGATCTTGACTGAAATATCTTGCTCTTTTGTTAGACAGGTTGTGGGCTTTGCAAAAGTCTTCCTTTATAGCACTTTTTTTCCTTTAATCTTAAGAAATTTCCAGGAAGCCCAGAGATATGGTCAAATGTCTTGTCCAGGCTATTCACAAGAGCAAAGTAAAATATTTGTTCCATAATTTCCACAAATAAAAATGCCCAATTATAATTAATTAATTAATACTATAGTAGATGGAAAAGAATAGAGGAGGTTGATTGATAGGTGGGAGTAGAAGCTGGGAGAATCTGGAAAAGACTTAAAGAAAAGACCAGTGAGCTCTCGAGGAGGAAGTACTCCATTCGCTCATGACATCAAAATGAAAAGGAGTAGGGGCCTCCCTGGTGGCCTAGGGGTTAAGTCTCAGCGCTTTCACCACTAAGACGTAAGTACGATTCCAGGCCAGGGAGGTGACCCACGATTCCAGGCCAGGGAGGTGACCCACGGGCACAGTAGACCTCTCCTGTCTTGTCCACTACTCCCCTCAGCAGTGTATTTCGGCCCACCCATCTCTGGTGAATCCCCTTAGCCCCTGCACATCTGGCCTACACCCCAGTTCTTGTATGCATAAAACAAAACAACAACAACTAAAAGAACTGGTGACATGGTAACTGATACTAAAGACTATAACCATCCTCTACTCCTTGATTTTCTTGATTTTAAAATGTGAGGCAAGAAATGTACTTCCTCTATGTTTTAAATGACATTTTCTTGTACCTAGGACAGCACCTAAGAAAAGTGAAATGTGAAATGAGTATTTCTGAAAAGCAGTAATGAAATGCTTTGAAAAAGGATGGCACATTGTGGAAACTTGTAAGAAAATGGCATCCAGTTAATGTGTGGACTGAGTTGTTCTTTAATGCAGCTTTGAGTTGGGCAGTGTGGTGGTGACAGCGGGCGTGGCTTGGAGACACCCTAGTGCTGAGATTCTAGAAAAGGATCCATTTCCTCCACAGACTGGGGTCACAGGATGAAAATGTTCAACAAAAATAGAACAGCACAGAGAGTCAAGTCTCTTGAGACTATTTTCTCATCTAGAAAGGTTTTTTTTTTTTTTTTTTTTAAGAAAGGTACAAAAAAGCAGGGACCAGCCAGTCATGGGTTGGATTATTCCAGCTGTAAAAATTCTGAAATAGTGCTTGCCTTTAATTTGATTGGGAAATGTGATTTATGAATAATAAGGCAAATGGTGTGGAGACAGCCTTCCCTTTCAGACATGCGCTGCAGTGTTTCACAGCACATAAACATTTATGGCTGGATGTAAAGAGCACACTGCTCAGCCCTGGAGCACCCGCACGGCCTGAGCATGGCGGTGATGCCTCATAGGAACCACCCAGTGTACTTGGGGGCTCGCCCTTGTCCACACATTTATTTTTTATTTTTTTTTTAAACGTTTATTCATTTATTCATACAGAACTGGGGTACAGGCCAGAGATGCGGAGGGTGAGAGGATTCACCAGGGACAGAGTGGGAAGCAGAACAGGCAGATCGACGAAGTACACTGCTGAGGGGAGCAGCGGGCGGGTCAGGAGAGGTCTGCCACGCCATGTGGTCACCTCCGGGCAGGCGGGGATCGAACTCATGCGGAAGTGGCTTAAGCTTCTCAGTGCAGTGCTTTAACCCGCTGTGCCACCAGGGAGGGCCCTCCACACATTTATTTTAATAACACGTCTGCCCTACTGCTGAAGTTCAGAAATCCTGTCACGCTGGATTTAGGTCTATCAAGTACTTTTTCTCCCCCAGATATCCGCAGGGCTCTCTGGCTTCTTTTGAGTCTTTGCACAGATGTATGTCACTTTCTCAATAAGGCCCAAACCAACGAATCTGTTTAAGATGGGAGGCCCCGGGCCCCACTACCATGAGCACCATGTGTGTTAATTCCCTTTACGCAGCAGCTTGTTTTTTTGCATTTTTGAATTCCTACCACTTTGAACTCTACTATACAACAGGCCTTTTCTTTTCCCCCCCCTAGGATTATTCCCTATAGTTAGGGAAGTTCCCCGAGGGCAGGAGTCTTTTGCCAGTTTGTTCCCTAATAGCAACCAGCACACTGTAGGAAACTCAATAATTACTTGCTAACTAAACAAATACCTATTCAGAAAGGAGTAGAATCTAATACTAATTTTTTCCTGTCTCCCTTTTGAAGACGAAATGGCTTTTAAAAACGTACTCTCCTGTCCCCTCTCATTCACTTGCCTTTATGGTAAATATTTGGACTGCTTGTGGTACTGAGAGCTGCCCCTCCCACTAATGACTCCAAAGTAAAGGGTCCCATCATTTCTAACCGCAGATGCATAAGTGTGCTCTATTACTGCAGAAGCTTGAGGAAAGAACCCTGAGCTCTCATTCTTGATTTTGGTCTAGCCACTGTCTTCCCCTTCGGTACTCAGCTTCAGGCTGAGAACAGCAGAACGCCTGCGATTACGTTTGCTTTTACAAGTTCAGCTGTAATCACTGGCTTAGAAACAGAGTGACCAAATCAGCTTCTCTAAATTATTGGCAGCCAATCTTTCCCTTTCAGAAGCACAAGGGTGCTTCCGAGCGCGTTCAGTTCCTGCCATTCTGAACATGCTTAATGAAAAGACTTTTTTTTTTTTTCTTTTTGGTCTCCACACTCACTTGTTGCCCAGTAACCAGGAAGATGGAGCCTTCCTTGCCATGTACCACTTGTCGGTAAATGTGGTCGAGAATTAAGAGCTCACTCCAGCAGTTCTGAAGCAGCTTCATCTGGTCATCAACCTGGAAACGAAATGGAAAACAACGACACTGTTAGTCGCTACTTGTTTTGTTTATGCTTGATTTTGCACATAAGGCAGTTCACTCTAAGTAAGAAGTCTCCACCAAGGTCACCCAGCATGGACACTCTGAAGTCACACCACTGCTCCTAAGAACCATTCTTTTCATTTGGACAAATATCTTTTTAGGTCAGATAAGCATACTTAGGTTAAGTACTTATAATCAATGAGCGGTTAGGAAGAGGCACTCTGAGATGGGTCTGTCTACCGTTAATAGAGCTGGTGGAGTTTGCTTTTTGGAAGATACAGACGCCTCCGACTGGCCCCAGTAGACGGCACTAAAATGACCCCAAATAAGCCCATGCATTTACAGCTAGAGGTTAGTACCTTGAACTGACACTGAAATAGTATGTAGACAGAGGAAGCTGCCAAGCAGAGACGACTGATGCAGACAGTTAGAACAGCCCAAACAACATCTGGAGTTAGAGACCCACGGCCAACACTTGTCATCGATGGCAAACTGCAAATTGTGCTTAATTCTGAATGGGAACAGCCCCCAGGCATGGTCTTGATGCTGAGCAGCCCTTGCTGTATGGTTTGGACAATTTTCCACAAACTCACTAAACTTCAGTTTTCTTATCTGGAAAGGTCAGAAATTGTCCCTTCCTCAGGGGGGCACTGTAAGTCCCTCTTCCCAGGCCACCTCTTCCAGCCACACCAACACAGCTATTTCACACACAATCCACATATGTGGTTTAGATATGAGGAGCATAGTGATCCTTCCTCTGGCTATGTATCACCCTTTATTCTTCTCTCTGCATACGGGTCAAAACCTTGGTATATCCATGGGCCCTTCAGGCAGTTGTAGCCACTTCAGTACGAGTTCGATCCCTGGCCCCAGAGGTGACCCACATGGCACAACAGACCTCTTCTGACTCAACCACTGCTCCCCTCAGCAGTGAACTTCATAGAACTGCCTGTTCTACTCCCCACTCTGTCTCTGGTGAAGCCCCTTACCTCCCTGCACCTCTGACTTGTACCCCAGTTCTGTAGGAATAAATAAGTCTTTTTAAAAAAAAAAACTTGCTGTATCCAAATGCAACAGCTGTGTTTGAACACACACACTGCGACACTGCATTTATGAAAATAACACCTGCTGTTCCAGTTTTTAAAAGTTTTTTTGCGTAGTATTTTAGGTTTGACTCACGGAACATGCCTTTGAGGTGAGCAGAATTGGCATTATTACTTTCTAGGTTCAAATAAGTAAACAGGGTCTTAGAGAGATCAAGTGGTAATACCTTTTCAAGGATTCTATGTTCCTTTGGGCTGTTTCCAAATGACATCAAGAGGAGCTAGAATTTTCTAAACCAAAAGAGTTTCACTCACTTTTAACAGACTCATTTTTCTTTTTCTTTTTTTTTTTTTTTAAACAGACTCATTTTTAAGCAGACATTCAATGAGACTTTGGATAGCTGGATGATTCTCAGGAAATGTCTATTGATATATTAGTGATTTGAGCTTGTGACTAACTTGATTTCAAGTGTCCAGGACAGTGAATATGATGAAGAGAACACCAAAGTGAGTCAAAAGTCACTCAGAAGTTGGTTCTGTACTTTCTAAGAGTGCTTGCAATTCTTTAAACTTTTGTTTTCTCATCTAAGAATGTGTGAATAGGTCTTGTTTGGAGGATGAAATGAAAGGGAGGGGAAATCCCTTTGTAAAGGGATTCACGTATACAGTGAAGAGAGAGCAATAAACAAAAGATGCCCAACTGGTAGGCCATGTTGATCCTGTTCAGTAGAAGAGGTTATTGACAGAGTGCAGCCACAGCCAGGCTCAGGGATCAGAGGCATCTCCAAGTGTCTCCACCATAAATATTTCCAGCCAGTGAGTCTGGCCAAGAGAATCTCACTCATTAAAGAGACAGGTATTTTTGAGATCTGACTATATTTTCAGTAGCAGACCTGAGATCATGAGCTAATCCTTGCTTTGTGAAAATGACTCCTATGGGGGACAAAGCTCACAGCGTCATGGAGTAATGGCAGTGGCAGCCCAGGTCTCCAGAATGATGTGTGGTATGACAGACCAGGGTGTGAGCAGAAGCTCAGGCAGATCCATGGAACGCTGGGTAGCCATGTATGTACGTGCTAGCCTGGAGCCCATTCCAGGAACTGCTGTCTCACGGGCTGGGGGTGATTTCAAAACAAGGTGCACTTTGCTCTATGGGTTTTATTAGATTCTCATTCCAGCAAATACACTATCAGCCTCTTACTTCAAATTTATCATTTTATGATGGCAATTTGGTTCCAATGTACTTTTTGGCCTATGATGGGAAGCTGGAGTCATGCATCCAGCACTCTTTTCAGGAAGCCCCAAATTTCATACTTTCAAGTCTCCCCAGAAACTACTCCTATCCAGCTTAATGTGGCAAAAACATCAAGATGGATAGATGGGGGGAACAGGCTCCTCAAAGTTCTTGTATGGGTTTCTGGAGGGAATTCTGATGTAAAAACATTATTTATTGACATAACACCTATATTGCAGGTGGAAAAATGAAAAGTTAAGCAAGCATCACCTGTTGGCCACATGGAAGGAGAAAAGGTGAGTGAAAATTCAAAGAACTGTATTTTCGGGAATCACCTCATTAAGGGGTTCTTCCTCTTCATTAAGGTGATGATGCTTATCCTGTGTAGACCACATAAAAAAATACTATGGTAACAGAATTTTCTAGCATGAAGCCATCTTCAAGTTGTAAGACACAACCTGACTTTTCCTGGACTTCTTTTCTTTTGGGTTGTGGAAGATACGTTTCCAAATAAGCAAATATTTTTGTCTTATGTTCAGAAAAACATGGGGTATATCATTTTCAGAATTATAACTGTGTGTGAGAGGGAGGGAGAGAGAAATTTAGAACTGTTTATCTGTTCTCTTACAAGGGTTGGACGATTGTAGTTTTCTTGTCACCTACTGATCCTATGTCCAAAGGCAGTCAGGGATTGGATGGCCTTGTAAAATCTGCGTGTTTCCTGGCTCCTCTGCTTCTTTAGAAATTGCGAGACGAGATGGATATACATATGTAGCTCCCACATTTTTGGCTTTATATTTTGTATTGTGCATGCCTTCCTTGGTATCTAACAGAGGTTCTCTATTACAACCTCCCTGTTGTGCAAAGTCTTCTAATTGCCTGGGTGTCTGTCCTCCTTGAAGATGGAGGTTCCTGAAACTGCAGGCCCACACTGCCCACTTCAGGGCCTGGCAAGGGAGAGGCATTTTTTAAATGCTTGATAAATGAAGCAAAGCTACAGGTGACTGTGCCAGTTTCCACTTTTACCCACGTCTGTGATACCTAGCCCATTATACAGTCGTGTGCCACTTAATAACATTTAGTTCAGTGACATCCCTAGTGCATAGGTGTGCAGCAGGCTGGCTCTGAAGTTCCACACCACAGTGTTCATACCAGTGAAGTCGTCTGAAGGGTGACCATATAAGCAAGCAAGATTTGCCACATTGGCGGAATGGAACAACCTCTATTCCTATCCAGCCCCTGCGCCTCCTGTCACTTGTACCTGACCCTCCCCTCACATGCCTGCAGGTCGGACACACATCTGGCCCTTGGTAAAGACGTCTTGACTGATTGTAATATTAACACCCGTCCTGAGCAATTGATTCCTTGTTTTAATACTCTCTGAGGAGGCTTAGCATGCTAAAATTCAATCTCATTATTTTCCATAATTGATTATGTAATATTTTATGTTATGTTGAAATTGGCGAGTACGCAGCACCACGGTGCTGTGGGCGACATGGTTTTTATGCAGCTCTATGCATAAAAGGACAGGGTAAATTTTACGACCAACTTGTTCTTTATCTCCACATAAGAGATGTTGGCAATTTTGAAGAATTTTTTTTTTTCCATTTGGAAACAGAGTTATAGGCGACACTGGGGTCAGAGAGAGAGGAGAAAAATAACCTATAGGTTGTGAGTAAATTCTCCAAGCATTAATGCTGTGAATAAAAAACTTGGGTGGCATTAGGGCGCCCGGAGAAGGATCGGCGGCAAATAATTCCATTATATATCAAAACCTCTTGCTAGTTAGCAGTATCACCTCATATAATCCTGCTGTGTTATCAGCTGTAATAAAAGGAAGGACTTATCTCAGGAACCTGGTTACTCATAAGAGAAACTATTTATACAGATAATACAGATGAGTGTGGAAGGAACACAAGCCTCATATTGTTACAAAGCACAACTTCCCACAACTCAGAATGTTAATCATTAGAGAGGTGTGCTTGCTCACAAGAACAGTGAATTTGACAAACAATTAGAAGAAGAAAAATGTGTAGATCTTTCTCATGCCCACATTTCACTTATCAAAACCTTTCTGTTGGCCCCTCTGCAGCCCAGCACGGCAGCTGCTTTTATGGTTTTCCCCCGCAGGGCCATCACAAAGCTGCCATCCCTGGCTTCCCTGGCCACTTTAAGAAGCTGTTTTTAGGAAACTGTTGCCTGGAATTGGAAACCATGCCTTAGGTCTGAAAGTTAGGGTCTGATGTGGCAGGCCCAGTGTTGGAAACTTGTGGGGGAGCCAGGAGAGCAGAGAAGTGGAAACCTGTTGTTTTAGTTCCCATGTGTTCAAGAGCTGGGAGCCCTTTACCCTTAGTTTATCGACTCCCAGCGGCTCAGTAGAGCGCCCGAGACGGTGCACTATGGCAGATTTGAACACTATACACTTACGTAGTACATTCTTTGTTTTTCTTTCCGTGACTCTTGTTACATCAAACTCTGGGAATACACTTTTTTTTTTAAATGATATGAAGATTCTTTTTTTTTCTGACAAAAGAAAAAAAAGGAAAAGCCTGGAGGTGGAGCTCCATTTCCTCATGCTCCCTTTGTGACATAATGACATGTGTAAAGGCAGATTCAGAAGCAGGCAGAGAAAAACCAAAACCCAAACAAATCAAAATCAATGTAACAAATCTCAACCAGAACCTGTCCTGGGCAAGGCA